ATTTGTTTTGGCTACTAAGTATTTAGTCGCCAAAAGTTTTTTCACTTTTTGCTACTAAACAATTTGTCGCCAAAACTTTTTTTCATTTTGTTTTGGCTACTAAATATTTAGTCGCCAAAATATTTATTTCTTTTTTTGGCTACCAATTGTTTTGTCACCAAAAATATCAATTTTTTTTTTTGTTTTGTTTTTTTCATTTTAATAAATTTATTCACAACCTGTATGTATTCACCACAACCTGTAATAGGTATACAAACAAATCAAATATATATATTATCACCTATTCCGTAATGCATGTTTCACTTACAACCATCAAACAAAAAAGAACACCTTACAATATAAACTTATATACAAACCAACTAATATATTCCAATTACGAATAATAACGTCATACATTCGAAATGTCCTACCAAAACAATGTCCTCTATACACAACATTTTTACTATACTATGCATTGTAATGACCATTTGGCATGGTACAAATTACCATGGTAATATGTACCACGACAAAAGGTAATCTATATATATCACCAGATCAATTAATACAAGTTCCAAAAATATATGTACCTCGCCAAAAATTATATGTACGATTTATCCAAATTCCACACAAAAAGTAGAGGACGACCAAAAACTTTCCAATGTTGCACAACTGTGAATTATCTTCCGGACAAAAAAATAGAAGATCCACATGTCAATGCCAATAGCCATCTACACAACAAAAATTACACCCATTAGTTCCATTGTAAACAAAAATTTTCAACAAAAAGTTACAACCATCTACAGAACACAAATTGCAAGGATGTCAATTGTAATTGAAATTGTATTTAGGGTTACTTTGAATTTAGGAAGTATTTGTTAAAAAAATTTCACTATTCAAACTAGGACACATAAAATGAGATGGAGAGAGGATTAGGAAATTTCGAAGAATCAATTTACAACACTTCACATTTCAGCTTTATCCATCATATGTGCACGCTCTTTCCCACTCTAACCCCAACATGGTGCTCACTTGGTCTTACAGAAAATCTAAGATCTAAAACATTTTCAATGACAATATGGTTGAAAATGTGGAAAGGTATGCACAGTGTACAATATTGTATTAGAATACAACTTACTACACTTGGAAACTCAATGCAAACATATGTACTGTGTAACATTTACGTTGGCTTATAGAACAAAGTGAGATTAAATGTGTTGGTTTTGTTAAAATCTTGGCAATCATGATCAAAAGTCACAAATAGGTTACAATTCTGATGGGTTCGGTAGAGTTGAGAGTTTATTCAACTTCAGTGTACAGTGTACAGTGTAAAGAAATTTCCCAAGTTAGGCATGAGCCCCAAGTCAAGTTTAGTCTAAAGTGTAAACATATATATATATATATTTTCATAAAACTAAATATTTTGAGATGCTTATAGAACATATATATTTATAAGCTATAATATATAAGCTTTAATATATATTTATAAGCTTTATGGCGTTTGTCATGGTAACTCCCAACGTACGCGTGGTAATTACATCCCATCTGACCCCACAGGTCCTATTTGACATGAGGAAGGTACCCGTGGCATCCATAGAGTGCTTCGGGGACTGCTTCCAATTTTCGGCCCTCGAAGGCCTTTTTCGGCTAAGTTTATGGTGTTTTTCATGCCAACTCCCAACGTACGCGTGGTAATTATGTCCCGTATGTCCCCACAGGTCCTATTTGACATGAAAAACCTACCTGTGCCATCCCTACAGTGGTTCGGGGGTTGCTTCCAATTTTCGGCTCTCAAAGGCCTTTTTCGGCTAAGTTTATGGCGTTTTTCACGCCAACTCCCAACGCACGTGTGCTAATTATGGCCCGTATGTCCCCATAGGTCCTATTTGACATGAGAAAACTACTTGTGCCATCCCTACAGTGGTTCGGGGGCTACTTCCAATTTTCGGCCCTCGAAGGCCTTTTTCGGCTAAGTTTATGGCGTTTTTCACACCAACTCCCAATGGACGCGTGGTAATTACGTCCCGTATGTCCCCACAGGTCCTATATGTCATGAGGAAGCTACCCGTGCCATCCCTACAGTGGTTCGAGGGCTGCTTTTAATTTTCAGCCCAAAAAGGCCTTTTTCGGCAAAGTTTATGGCGTTTTTCATGCCAAGTCCCAACGCACGCATGCTAATTACGTCCCGTATGTCCCCATAGGTCCTATTTGACATGAGAAACCTACTCGTGCCATCCCTACAGTGGTTCGGGGGCTGCTTCCAATTTTCAGCCCTCGAAGGCCTTTTTCGGCTAAGTTTATGGCATTTTTCTCACCAACTCTCAACGTACGCGTGCCAATTACGTCCTGTATGTCCCCACAGGTCCTATTTGACATGAGGAAGCTACCTGTGCCATCTCTACAGTGGTTCAGGGGTTGCTTCCAATTTTCGGCCCAAAAAGGCCTTTTCCGGCTAAATTTATGGCGTTTTTCACGACAACTCAAACATGTTTTGAAAGGCCAGCCCAAACATCTTTAAGCAAGCGGCCCGGACTGGACAATGAAGTCCACATAACGAATGAAGCAAAGCCCATTAAAAAAAGAGGCTCTTTGAATCTCAATAGCCTTTTCAATTTAGACAAACGAAAGGCCGCTAAGACTACTGATTGACCCAACAACAAGGTACCTATGGCTGCAATGAGAGTTCTAATCAGTCCACACAACCAGAGGAACATCTTTATTTGAACCATTTTTAACATGATCAGACAGAGGGATGAATAGAAGAGGAGAATATGAATCTAGGAAGCAAGGAAGGCATTAGTCTATTGAGATCAGGATCTCATCACCAGAATGAAAAAAAGGTATTCCCTACAGATAGAAAAAATATTTAATGATGAATCAAGAAATACAACAAATAACATCTTATTGGAAATTTTTTGCTGAACTCTGTGAATTATTCTATGCATCTGACTCATTTTGATGAATTTCCATGCCCAAAGAATTGGCCCTCCCCAATGAAGTATAAAATCTGTGGTACAAAATACAACATACTTAAAGGTTCTGTAAAATGTGCTGAAGACTTGCATAGGAATAGGATCGATGCAAAAGTTATAACTGATATACAGCTAACATCTACAAAGACATACATGATAAAGCTCTTTGTATTACCCAAAAAAAAAAAAAAAAAAAAAAGCCCTCTGTTTTGTGCACTCTGATTGGAAATTTATTTTTCAAAACCTACCTAACAGAAGACCTGTTGTTACGCAAGTAGCACAATTCAAGTAACAAATTTAGCCTGCTTGCAGACAGATCAGATTTAACTTCCTTTGCAACGAGTTTAACTGGAATAGAGCCAATATTATTACTTCAAGTATCATAAGAATTTGACCAAGAAAATTCATTTAGTCCAGAATAATCGTCCAATATTAATTTAAAGATATTAATAATTCAGTTAGTAGGTTGGGTCATATGAATTATTTAATAGGATAGCCCAGACCATTTCTTGGAATCCAAGCATAACTGGACCTGCTTAGTTGTAAACCAATGACAGCTCAACAGTTCAAAGATCTTGCAGCACTATTAAAATAACCATGAATGAGATTCGCTAGGGCCAACAAAATGGAAGATCTTATGGAAAATTCATCTACGAGTAAAAAGCTACACCTAATAAATATACAACCAAAAGTTCAAAAATCCATATAAAATGTTATTGCTCGAACAACGCGTGATGGATAAAATAGTAGTGAAAATACTATTATTCAACAACTATAGACCTATGGCATTCAAAGGTACAGTCACTTTTCCATGCATAAAACACTATGACATTCAAAGGCCATTTCTAGAGAGTGGTCCTCTAAAATCGACGGTGCTGGGAGTGGTAGACTAGATATAGACCTAACCTTTGACATAACATACACAAAATTGCTACTTTCACATTTTAACCCGTGCTATTATGATTGGCAGCCTAAACTTCTACCATTGCATACCAAGTAATGGCCCTACAAAATGCTATGCCACACAATAATAAAAAAGGATTAATAGGGTGAAGTTGTATTTTTTGCTTCTCTACCCATGATTATACAAATTATTTTATACATAAAACACACAAGTATACATTTGTAAAATAGTCTCTCAATTACTATTGTTTATTTTCTAGATTATACAGGGGGGGGGAAGGAAGGCATTAGTCTAAATCCTTGGGTTAGCTTTGGAACAGACATTCCATGTGCCAACTATTAGTATCAGAGTAAAGAGGCAGTAAAGCAACTAAAATAGAAAGTTAGGTGCCACTATATATAAGTCAACAAAATTTAACCACAATAACACTGACAAAATGCTAATTTTGTATTTTCGAAATCCTGCAGAATATGACAAGAAGAAATGGACATTGTGGGGAAAAGAAAAGCATACCAACATCAGTCTGTATACTACAAAATATTTCGTTAACAAAATATGAAACATGAAACATGAAATTTCGTTAACAAAATATATCGGCAAAATTTTTTGTAGTTACCTTATGGAAATCAGATTACGATCCTTTGTGTAATGTATTGAAACACCAGGTCGTCTGCTGCTATGTCTACTCACATTATGCCTCAAAACCTATTCCAAGCACATAACAACAAAAAATTTGCATAGCAACTTTAGAAAACAATTCTATGTCAATATGATCCATATTTTTGTAGAACTTGCATTAGCTTATGAATAAAAGTATGTTTACCGAATAGTAGTATGACCATCTGAACCCTCCAAGAGGGTTGTGAGCCATGACACCACGTCGTTCAGATGATTCAGTTGTACTTGTTGTGCCTCCTGTGTTTTTTTTTTTCTTCGACCTTTCTTTCCCTCATAATGTCCTCCCGATCTCTTTGGTGCTCCACTTTCTCCTTGAGCAACTCCTTGTGATCTCTTTGATGGTCCTCACGAAGAACCTCTAGTTCCGCTCTCATTGCCTCCATATGTTTATCACGTGCTCGTGCCGCACTAGGAGCTGTGGAAGAGGGTTGTAGGCCTATCCCACATCCACACAAGTAATTTTTCTTTGCCCCGAGCACTTGCCTTGAAAGTTCTTCGTGGGTCAATGGCAACCCCGCATCGGTAGCTACGACTTGTAGATTCACCATATCATTCTGTCATGGCAAAAAAACAATGAAGTCAAGATGGTTGAAGGAATTGAAAACAACTTTAGTAATTGATATGCAACAAAATTGGTTTCAACATTCAATACTCACATGTAGCTCACCACATTTGGGGTCAATCCAGTCTCCCGTCTTCTTGGACTTGTGTGATTTCTTATAAAATTCCGAGAAATCTATATCGCCATCCTCATTTGCCTATTTGGTTTGAAAAATTTCCATTGATGAAGTAGTACATAGTAATATTAAAAAAAAAAAAGAGGAACAATCAATCATCCATTACATTACTAAATTAACAATTTCTTACCATAAGCGACATTGTTATAGGAAATGATCGCGATCCACTTGTATGATTATATGGGAGCATACCCCTATTTGCTTTACCATCTTTAGAGCGTTTCTAACAAGAAAAAAAAAAGGTGGACATATTTCAAAAAAAAAAAAAAAAAATTAGTAAAGAATTTTTACATATTAACACATAAATTAATTTCAAGAATGGGGTTTCTAATTAATTTGTTGCCAAGTGAGATTCGTCTTTCCAAGCAACATCAATCAAATATTTTCAGTCCTCCAAGGTCACTCCACTAGGCGGATGACTATAGGGGTCATCAACACCCTTTTCCTCAAGTTCGAGCAACTCTTGCTTTAGATTGTACCTCCAATCCTTGTATAGCAAATATGCCTTTCTATCGAGGATTTCTTGAGCTTGCTCATCATTATCAAAATCATCACCGATAACAAACTTGTCCTACATACATAATAACAGAATTAGTACATCAATTAATTTGAGTAATTACAAATAACTTAATAAAGACATTATGGCAAGATGAATCTCATACTAGCACACCTTGGACGATCGCATCTTTGGTACTTTGATCGATTTTTCTCCATGACTTCACGCTCTAAAGAGGGCATAACCGTCTAATTTGCAATCCTAACTCATTCGTCGCTAGGGTGGCATTCCCTCCTGTTATTGTGTTTAACACCCGATTGACATACACATGTAATTTCTCTCCTTTTTTCCGTGTTATTTTTTTCTGCACTCCTTTGCCTAATGTAGGTCCTCGTACACGAGTTGACCTTTTTCGCCCTGGTACAAAAGGGTAAGCAAGTCACAAATTACAAGCATTGCTAATGAAATATGTGAGAGTATTGGTTGCTGCTTCAGTAAAAAAAAAAAAAAAGAAAAAAAAAAGGAAACACCTAATAAGTGACTATCAAGATAATACTATTAATTATAAGTGTACAGCCCTTGGTTGAAGTCCCATTCAATTGGGAACAGTTACTTCATTCATGACATTGTATCCAATTTGAACCAAATCAGACGGTGCATTTGAGTGATGCTCTGCTGCAACACTCATTAGTTCATCTGTTCTGCTCAGCCTTCTCCTCAATCATCTGTGATGTTTTCTGTGGGCAGAGGAGACGCATGGAGGAAGAGAGGAAGTTGGCTGTTTGCCCTCTATGAGCTTATCAAGGGCATTCTGTTCTATTGATCTGTTCTGCTATTCACCTGCTGTTTTGCTATTCTGCAACACTGCTGTTCATTTGATGCTCTGCTGCAACACTGTTGTTCATCTGCTGTTCTGGAAATCTGTTCTGTTCAGCCTTCAGGATTTTTTCCCAACCACCCCCAAATTGTTTTGCTATTCTGCAACACTACTGTTCATTTGATGCTCTGCTGCAACACTGTTGTTCATCTGCTGTTCTGGAAATCTGTTCTGTTCAGCCTTCAGGATTTTTTCCCAACCACCCCCAAATTGTTTAGTACATATGGTTGCAGATCTCATTGATGTTAATATTAATACACATGGGTAATAGGTGGAGATAATTGGATGAACATGTACAATTGATCCTGTCCTTACCAATCAATATCTCCAACAAAATGAATTGAAGGGTTGGGCACTGTAAAGTAACCCCTAGTTTTTTTGGTGCCTTTTTTCTTTTTGTTTATGGGGTTTTCATTGCCTTAAAGACTTGACTTATGCACCCCAAAATAAAGGATTTTTTTTTTTTTTTTTTTTTTTGTAAACAACTAAGTTTAATGCTCTTCCCCACGCCACCTGACTGCGTCTCCTCCACCACTATCTGGTATCATTTGGTGGCTGCGTCTCATCAGAGAACGCCAACGGGGTGCCAATCTCGGGTGGACATGCTTCAGAGGCTGATAATACGTTGGCACTTGTTGCTCTCTTCCGCCGCCCCGTCTTGAATCCAGGAACCATGGTACCTACATAAAAAATAACAAACACACATGAGTACTCAACGTCACATACATCACTTACATTTACATAAACCTCACATTCGTTATTTACATACATTTACATAAACCTCACATACATAAATGTCCAAACATCATTGGATATTTAAATGTCATTATTTTTTTTGACAACCATTCACAATTTAACAACCAGCAGATTACAGAGGCCCAAATTAAGCAACCAATGTCCAAAACATGTAGCAACCAATGTCCAAATTAGGCAATGTCCAAAAAAAGCAACCAGTCACAGTTTAACAACCGAATGGAAAATCTGCCCAATGGGACAGCAGACCGAGTGGAAAATCTGACTTTACTATGAATTTGATTTTCACAATGTACTTTTAGAGAACACATAAAGTAATGTCACAACAAAGTGAGTTAAAATTATAAGTCCATATCTGTATCAAAATCACTTTCTATCTCATCTTCTTCTTCGTCATCACCGGCAATTGTTAGTTCATCATCGTCATCACAGATGAAAGCATTATCCATAACACCCTCAGGTTATACACGCTTTTTGGACTGAGAAACTTCCATTGAAATAATTTCAGGTTCAATGTCATCCTGACGCAAAACAACATCATCATCAATAGGCTCAGTTGGTACAACAGTAGTGGTTTCATCTTCTTGCAACACTTCATCAAATTCTGGCACATCCAGCTCTGGCATATCCCAAATTCGTCGATGTTGAAACTTTTCTACGACTCGCCAATTCGGCCCTAACTTCGTATCATGAACGTAGAAAACTTGTTGAACTTGGCTTGCGAACACAAATGAGTCATCTTTATACCATCGACTTCTTACATCAACAGTTGTCACATGTGGTTCGACACGCAAAGTTTGACTACTACCGGTGTTATACCATTCACATTGAAACAAAACAACCCAATGTCCAAACAAATATGTCAGCTCCCACACTTTACAAAGGTAGTCGTAGAACTTTATCAATTGGCCTTGGTGGTCGCCTTCCACTACCAACCCACTATTTTGACATTTACAACGGTTATCACGGTCGATAGTATGGAATCAGACGCCATTAGAAATGCACCCCTCATATGTGTTCACTAAGGCATTAGGTCCATTGGCTAATGACCACATCTCATCGGTTGCTTCGGGTGACTTTAGATTTCGCAATTGGTTCATCTAGACAAGAAAGTATGTCATGTTAATTCAAACTTGGAATAATGTAAGGTTCTATGCAAACTATACACTAATGAGTTTAAGCTTACGCGATCTTTGAGCCATTTAGGAAATTCTATGCATTGTCGCGTTGCAATGTTGCATGAACTTCCATATTTTTGCTGCAACACGAGCTTGTGTTCTCTAGTTAATACAACGTAATTCATAAGTAATTTGAATAATGGAGATTTTAAAAAATAAAAACCATGTAGAAAATGTATGTTGCATATATGATGAGGAATCATACTCTAGATATTCGTCCACTTCCAAACTATTGTGTAAGATAAACCAATGAGCCAATTTGCGACCAGCTACGGACACATCAATTGCCCTTGTGAGTTGACCAAAAGGACGAACATTTTGAGTGAAAATCGCCAACCCCGGGCCATTGTCACCCCCATTGTAGTTTCTTTCTTCCCGGTTAAACACCGTTTCAACTCCCTCCAAATACATTGAACATGAACAAAACGTCGTGCACTCTTTCGATATGTAGCCCTCCGCAACGGAACCTTCTGGCCGAGCTTTATTGCCCACAAATCCTTTAAGAACTCCAAGCATACTACATGTAAACATCAGCCTGATCATTAGTATGGTCATATTGAACTATATTTAAATGAAAAAAAACACCCCCATCGTATTTATACCTCTTAATAGGATACATCCATCGATATTGCACAGGTCCTCTAAGCAAAGCCTCATAAGGCAAATGAATTGCCAAGTGGACCATGACATCAAAAAAAGCAGGAGGAAAAATCTTCTCAAGCTTACAAAGTATAAGTACGATTTGTTCTTGCAATTTCTCCAAATCAGTCACCCTCAATGTCTTTGAGCACAACTGTTTGAAAAAATTTCCCAACTCAAACAATGTGGTCCCAATCTCAATAGGAAGGTATCCTCGCATCCCAATCGGAAGAAGTCGTTGTAGAAGGACATGACAGTCATGACTCTTGAGGTCAACTAACTTACCACCATTCGCGGTGACACAATTGGATACATTTGCCGCATAGCCATCAGGATACTTAATCGTTTTCAAGAAATCAGAAAATCCTTGTCTCTCTGCCAGGGACAATGCGTACAATGCCAGAGGCTTCTCAAAAGAGCCATTCGCATGCCTTATCAAGTGTAACTCCTTTCGTATTCGCATGTCCTCTAGATCCAAACGTGCTTTGTATGTGTCCTTGTTCTTGCCATCTACGCTCAATAGTGTCCCAAGCAGATTGTCACATATATTCTTCTCTATATGCATGACATCAAGGTTATGTCAAAGCTTAAGTGTTTTCCAATAGGGTAAGTTGAACAAAATGCTTATTTTTGTCCAATTCGGAGTTGGATTTTCAGTCCTTTGTCTTTTTTGGTTGGTTGGATGCTTTCCATACGGCCTGTACGTCCCCAAACTAATTTGCTCAAGTATTTGTTCTCCCGATAACTCTACAGGTTTGGATCGATTACTTCTTCGCCAATTATGGTTCTCAGGTAAGTACCGCCGAGCACCCATATACCCTATCTTACTTCGCAAGCTCTGAGATGAAGCATCTATGTTACAGTTAAGGCAGACCAAGTAACCTTTTGTATTCCAACCAGGCAAGGAACCATATGCGGGGAAGTCAGTGATGGTCCACATGACTACTGCATGCATTGTGAATATTTGGCCGTTTGAGGCATCATATGTTTGCACACCATGCTCCCACAGATTAGTTAACTCTTCTACTAATGGTTGCAAGTAAACATCGATATCTCTTCCAGATGCGGATCGTCCAGGA